ATGCTTTTGCTGCCACAAGCTTGGCTATGAACCTATTCGTTTAAAAAGACCCAAGTATATCACTGACAATTTAAAGGTTTCATATTATTCTGTTTTCTGATCTGTTATAATGCTGTTTCTTCATCACAAACATACCTGAAATTGTGTTTTGTGTTTAACACGTTTAACACATGTTTAACACACAAACCCTGCATATTTAGGCTGAGTTCTTCTATTAAACAGGAAACTCTGTTCCATTTTCTTATATCATGGTGGTAATACTGGAACCCCTACACCTTCACAAGAATCATTTACATAATTTCAGCCCTGGAATTACCTCTACTGAAATAGAGGTAAAAGAAGCTGTTAACTTGAAAACTACCCCTACGTGACATCACAAGGTGGTAACGATCATTTTGAGCTTTAGAGATGTAGACAAACTTATAACAAATGGTTACTCAAACAAGCATGAAGGAATCAAAACACAACTCCAAGTAGGCTATGTTTTTGAAGAGGTAACCTTGTAACATGGTTTAAATCTCACAAGAGACAATTTTGTGTAATACTAGTATAGGACCTTTGATATTACTGAATGTCTCTATTCAAATCTGATTCATCTCAATCTTTTCAATTAAAATACCAGTTATTGCACAGCCCTAACTGAAGGTATACTTTCAACAGAATTGCTCAAAAAATAACCTACATTCTTTAAAGTGGGCCAAAAAAACAGTGTAGAGCAGTCACCACAAGTCAAATGTATCGTAACTGTCAGCGCTTTTAATGAATCTAATGAGGATACACAAGTTTGTAAAGTGTTTATCTGGGTTTGAATATTAAAACCAGGACAAAATAAATGAATAATTCAAACCCACCCTTGTATTCTTATAAACAAGAACAAACTAGGTGAATTTTTACTTTTTGCTGAAGGTTGTTGTCAGTCCATGGAGCTCCATAATTCTTGTCAAATGAGACCCAATGGGAGCTAGAAGAGTATAGTAAAATACATACTGTACATTAGGGTAGTAGGGTCCATTTGTGAGTCCATTTGAGCTGTGGGACAGAACTGGGACAGGGTCTAAACCAGGGCAGCCTCTGATCCACTGAAAAACATGTCTGTAAGTGGCAGGTTGTCCGCCCTTCTTTAAGCCCTCACATCTTCTCCATATTTCATCACGCTCATTCATATTCACACACACTCGACTCATGGACCCCGATTAAAGAAAAAGACTTCAGGGAGACGTTTTAGAAAGAAAAGAGTCAACAAGAATAAAGTGAGTCTAATGCTGTGGACAAGTGCTGGTATGATGAGTCAGAGCTGGTTTCAATCTTACTGTATTAAAACTTGAATGACTCATTTTCTAACCGTGTTTCTGTTGATTAGTTGCAGAGATAGCATGGCTCTCTTGACTATACTCTCATTAAAGTAGAAAGGGAACTGTGCATATCTGAAATTGAACCACAAATAGCTTGCTGCTGAGAGTTCTTAGCCAGTGTCTTAACATTTTGGGCAATCTGAAAGAAATGGAAAGCTATACCCACAGGTTACACGTATATACAAGAGTACTCAAATTGTTTATTTTTCTATATATGTAAAAACAGCTCAGCCCAACAGCCCAGACTTTTTTAAAGCTGTTAAATGTGCCCATATTGTGCCATTTTCTGATGTATGTTATAGTGTTGTTTCCTTGTCAAAAACACACCTGGAGTTGTTTCATTCACACATGTTTAATGCACAAACCCTGCACATTTAGGTTGAGTTCTTCTCTTGAACAGAAAGCACTCTGTTCCACCATGCGATGTCATGATGTAATACAGGATGCACTCTGCTATGTTTTTAAACTCCAAACTCCTTCACTAGAATCATTTAGATAATTTCAGCCCTGGAACTGCTGAACTAAAGGTAAAAGGTACCTGTTAACTTGAAAACTATTACTCCATGAAGATAGACAGTCTAATAATAAAGGCTTATTCAAGCATGTGTGAATAAAACAAAACACAACTCCAAGTATGTTTTTAGAAAATCACAAAATTCTAACATTGCTTAAAGAGCTCACAAGAGTCAGTTTAGCATAAAATAGGACCTTCACAAAGTGCTCTACAGAGCTATTTCCACTAGCCCTACTTGGACCTACTTAGCCTGATTTGTGTTTCCATCTTACATCGTATCCATGAAAACTGACCACAACAAATATATTGGACTTGCATCTCAAACCAGCATGACTTCCTGGCCTGTGCCCTGGGCATGTTTACTATCATGACTGTCAACTCTGTCACTGACACAAACCATTGCTGAAGTTCAAGTAGAGCCTTATTTGGGACAGTACTGACCGGACCCACAGAGAGAGGGGAGGGAGGTGGTCTCCTCTCCTGACCAATCAACAGTCCAACATCACATTACATCCCCATCTGGTCCACTATCACAGCAGTGTGACAATATTTCCCTCAGGCCATCGGACTATTGAACTACTAATGGACAATCTCAGCACTCTCCCCCCTCTGCCTCACCTCATTCTAAACCCAAACACCAAAGACAGTCACTGTTTATAAAGCCACTGCTGCAGCCATATTTACACTGCTCACTGCTCACACTGTTACTCTTGGTCTGCATTAATCTGTTCATAAAAATGTAAGGTTTAACATTGAGATACACATTTTTCAATTATTATTATTATTATTTATTTATTTATTTTTGTCTTAAAGGAACTGTTGACATCACAAAAATATTGTTGCCAATGTGTTGTTTTAAAGAGGGGGTATTAAATACTAATATATTTAGATCACCATGTTACCTTTTATTGTTTTGAAAATGCTAAATTCTCAGAAAACAGCTCTCCATGCTAAGTCACACCCGCTTGAGAGCACTATGATATTACTATGAGTCGTTGTGTGTCCTGCTAATGAAGCTGCTGCACATTGCATTATGTTTGTGCAGCTGAAGTGTGTTGTTTTGTATCAGGCTTTTATGGGAGCATGGATGACATGGACTTGTGGGCTGAGAATTCCACTTACAGCTAATTATAAGAACAGTTTGAAGGAGAGATCACTAAATTACTCAAACATCAATAACATCTAAAACCAGGCATGTTTTTTGATGAGGGAACAATCTTATAACGTAGAAAGCTCCAAAAAGTCGATTTTGTATAATACCCTCCCTTTAAGATGTATATGTGTGTGTGTGTGTGTTTTAATCCGTAACCAACACAATAAATGAGCACGGAAGCCATGGCATAACTCCTGGTTCATTTTCATCTCTTATAATACATTTCATACAGAGCTATTCACACAGAGGATCAAATATAACAACTGCATATTCGATGGTCACACATGGCACATCTCATCAGGAGGCGCTTTAATCACATCTTTCTAAATTGGATGAAAATAAATCTCACTAAAACAGAATTTCAAAGAGAATTGTCAGTTTTGATAAGCCATATCTTTGAATACACCAATAAGTTGTCGCTGGCATGTTTAGTCAGATGGTTGGACAACAGTGCAAAGAAATCTCCAGAGTGGGACATTCATGAAAACCCTCTTTAATGATAATCAGAAGTGCCAACAAAAACATCAGAGCTCCTGCCAAGCTCACAGCAGCACACACACTAATGGGCACACTGGCCATGGTATTTCTCTTCATTTACTTCTGCATCGGATGATCCCAAATAGGTTGTGTTCATGATTTCAAAATAAGGTGGAGGGCAGAATTCTATATCCAAATAAAACAAAGACTGGCAGTTTTTGATATCTCCTCTGCCCACAAAAAGATAGTTCTAACATATAAGATTTTTCAAAATCAACAAACGGTCATTATGATTAAAAATAGGCTAATACCATCAATCTGAAATTATCACAGAAAACAGTCTTGAACACAACCCACTGAAATTAAATAATTATAATACAAATCTATATACTGTGATATGTTATAATTATAGTTAAGGAAATTGTAACAGCTTGATAAATGTAGCAATGCATATTTAAATCATAAAAGTGTTAAATAAATCAATCACATAATATAAGCAAACTACATTTTCATTGCACACATTTGCAGTAGCTGTCAAATTGCAAAATGTGACCAAGAAACTAATTTAGCAACTACTAATTAGGCCTGCTAGCATGTAATGTATATGTAGTGGCATTCAGAGAGAAAACAACAAATCCGACTAAGATACACTTCAGCTCACTGCAGCTCTATCAGTTATATGGTGAATTTGATAAACCATTACACTAAATAGTTTATGTCATCTCTAAAATGTGTTTTGTCCTCTGGTTTTGCTTGCATGGAGATAACGTTCCAGTGTACTGTCTAATAAAATATTTTCCATCACAGTCTGCTTTATGAGGCCTACACCAAATGTTGACTTTTTAAGTTGAAACATGTAAATGACTTTAACTGGATGTTGATCATAGGCTGTATATATAAATGGACGTAGCTAACATTCCAAATAGGAAGTGTTCACATTTGGCTATGGTGTTTTGTGGGGCAGTGGCAGCAACGTCCATAGAAAGGAACATGTAGGTGTGGAGTTGCAGCCAAGAGTGGTGTGATTGCGATGTGCTTTACTGCTTCATTGACATAGAGTTCATACACAATTTTCATATGACTAGAAGAACATTTGTGTACATTTGTGAGCGCCTACTTATCCCACTCTCATGGGAGGAAACACATCTTTGGCAGCTTATTTCAGTGAGCAAATGTTGGGATCAGTGCTTGTTACCGTGTTGTTCTGACATGTAGGTGGGATCAATGCTATGTGGCAGTGTCAAAAGATTGGATATGTATCGGTTTTAGGACCACATATCCAAGTGGCCCGGGTCGCATTTGAAAAAATCGGATCTGTATCGTTCAGACTGTGTTTAAAAGATCAGATACAGGTCGCACAGGGGCAAAAAAATCAGATTTGGGTCATTTCAGGTTGCAGTCTGAAAGTAGCCTTAGTCTACTTTATATAGTCTATGGTGTTGATGTTGTTAAGGGCATAAAGGTTTAGTCATTTACAACCAAAGCAAACAGACAGTTCACTCACCCTCCTTTGATATAATCGAGGAAAGTGTGATCCGACTCCACGTTGAATGACAACAAGGACACCTAAGGGGAGAGAGCCCAAACAAATCATCTTTAGCTTTGTAATTAAGCCATGCCAGTGCTTCCAAATTACCAACTGACCTCAGCACTAACCGCACACTAAATAACTTATCTTTGCGCAGGCTGCATATTAGCATTAGCATCACAGAGGAGCCATCAGCAGAGGACCAAGCTCAAGTCTGGGAGCTTTGATGGATAACTGGCCTCAGATTTTAATTACACTGCCACTAGGATCCACAGGAGCAGCCAAAGCAGTGTGCAAGATGGGCTAATGTGTGTAGTTTATAAATATTGTCACGTCAACTCGCTGATGGCTCCCTAATAGCTGTCTTTAAGATGGACTTCGCCCCATTTAATAGAACGCAAATGTTTTACAAATTTACTTATGGAGTTTTGGTATAGGTGGACAGAGAATAGTGTGTGCGTCACTGTGGGAAACTTTGAGAAGCATTAGAGCAGTTAGATTTATTAGACTCATGCATCACGGCAGACAGGGATTGTCAAGAGAGCTGCTCTGTGGAACTTTTCTAGTAAGAAGGTCTGCCACCTGCTTGTCTCCATGGCGATGTTAAAGCTTGCCTGGAATGTTCTGTGGTATGGCATTAAACTAATCTATCTTCATGGCTATTAATAAATACACCGCAAATCAGAGTGACTCTGCCATCTTTTTTTCTACTCCACAAACTAATCTATCGTGCATGTATTGAATTACAGGTGCTGTCTGTTGCTCAAAAAATCCCTGAAAAACATACATTCTTACTGAGAGTGGGATTGCCTGTCCTGCTGATGTCCATCAAAATTGAAAAGTTGAAAAGTTTGTTTGGAACATTCCAAGCAAAGCAATCATATCTCCAGAGCAGGTGGCAGACCATCCAACAAAAAAGATACAGTATATTAGGATATTTCCAATTCATGTCAATAGCATTACTTGTCACCATCTAATCATCTGCTCAATTATATAACTTTATCATAAATTGTTCTCTAACACTTACTACGTAACATATTACACTATTTTCTGATCTGTGCTATAATGTTTCATCAAAAACATACCTGGAGTGTTCTCTTTCAATCACATATGTTTAACACTCCATCCTTGCATATTTAGGCTGAGTTCTTCTCAAACTGAAAACACCTTGTCATGTCATGCCATAATACTTGAAGTGCTCCACTGTATTTTAAACTCTGTAAACCTTCACTAGAATCTGGATGATTTGAGACCTGGAATTGCCATTCTCTACGGAACAAAAGGTAAAAAGTACCTGATAATTTTAAAACTACCACTTCATGACATCACAAGGTGAAACAGAGCATTTTGATCTTTGAAGATGTAAACAAGTGTGAATGAAACAATTACAATTCGGGGTATGTTTTTGATGAGGTGTTTCTAATCCTCCTGTAATCACTTACATCTGTATATTCACTTTCCATGCTCTGTAAATGTCACTCTGATATCTCTATACAAAACATGTTCCACAAAAATGACTTCACACAATGTTATTATTACATCTCCTGTTGGCTATAATCACATTCTTACCGTTCCTGAGTTTATGTATCTCTTCTTCTTGAGTTTCTTCTTGGCGTTCACCACCTACAATAGAAATACAGATGAAAAATATTTACTTTTTTCTGCCTTTTGCACCCCACAGGCAAGTAATAAGCACATGTTTATCCTCCCACCTGTGTGTAAGTGTAATGGGGCACACAGCCTGAATCCAATAAGAACAGTATAGTAGGTGTGCATGAGATAGCATTGATCAGGCCTGGAAGCGTAACCAGGATTATATAAAGTAATATCTATTCACTTGGAGGCTCAGGACCAGCTCTGTGCAGTCTCAGCATTGTAAGCTTTAGGCCATTTGGAAACATGCTCTTATCTAGATTTGTTTGTGAATATTGACTGATAAAAAAATGATGCATTTTATAGCATGTCTTGTAATAGAGGTGGGTTAAAAGGTGAAAGTGACAAGAAAAAAAAAGTGGCAAAAACATATTCAGGAAGTGAAGCGAAAAGATTAACACCTCACGTGTGTCTAGCAGCTGCCAAAAGGAATGCAACAGTTTGCAAAAAGTTATATTTAAAAACTCTGACAATACAAAACTACTCTACATATGTGGTGCTGAAAGTTACTAACTCATTGATTGAACATATTAGCACAATGTCAGCTGCATTACACCCTAAAACCTTTGGATGAAATAACAAAATACTTATACCTTTCTGGTATTTATTACTGTAAACTGTAACATAGTCCAGAGATCAATGTTTTACAGTTTGTTGGTTAACTGGTAAACTGCAATATTCATCTAATATAGTCCTGGTGCACTGACTTCTTCTTCAAAACTGACCCACCTCAAACAGTGAATTCATTTTGTATTTTTTTGTTCATAAGTTTTCAAACCATCTCAAAACATTTTTGTCTATTTCTTGCTAAAGTTTGCATTGTGTCACCATGGTAACTCATGAACATTCCATCATACACATGTAGAACACCCCCAGCATGATGTCTCCACAAAAAGAATTGGTGAAAAATATGTGACATGTTTAACGCAGTCAGAATTATAAATATTATTATTAGATTTGATTGTTTGGAGTTCTCCACATGTTTGAAATGGGTTTCCAGATATTCAGAGAGTGGTATATGCACCAAGATAAGTCCTTGCTTCTTTAAAGCAGAAGCCTAAAGGGATACTCTTGAATACAACTACCGTATAAAAGCTCTGACATGTACTCTTCCTCCCATCACCTCCTGCCCACATATTTTCAGATCCTCCAACACACTCTGGGCTTGTTACACTCTGATTGTCAGACTACGTCACACACGCATCACCCTCCATTACACCAGAGCATGTTAGCATTAGCCGCCTGTCACTGCTACTCACACCTCTAATGTTTGTGTGGGCCCAGAGCACGTCAGATTGGCTTCAGCGAAATACTAACATACTCCAGCAATGCAGCCCATGACCTATTCACAATGTTTTGGATCAAATATTACTAAAAGGTAGCATTGCGGTGTGTTTTGATCTTAAGGTCATGGCTTTAAAGGGCAATTCTATGACTCTTGAGAAAAACAAAAGTTGTGTGAAAGTATTATTATATTATATTATTATTTTCATTATTATGCTAATTAATTTTGATTGCTATACAAGTATGATTTGCACTTTTCCATCAGCAAGTCTGTCGCTGTATGTGGTGCTGAAATGTAATTAAGCAAAAGTAGTAAAGTACAGTCATTTTTAAAATGGATACTTTTACCTTTAACTTGACTACATTTGAGAGCAGATATCTGTACTTTCTACTCCACTACATTTTGGAACAGGACTGAAAAGTGAAAGTATTTCCATTTCCATTTTTTTTTTTTTTTATTATAGTTTAAGACCTGCTGAAAAGGCTGAAGGTTTATTTTTATGTACATGCTTGAGCAAATAGAAATCCACATGGAATACTTTTACTTTTACTCTTTAAGTGTACTTTAACATGTACTTTAATAGATTTTTTTGTGTGACATTTATTTATTTTTATTGTATTTATTTATAAATTTTTTTGCTACAGTAGTTTTACTTAGTAGCAAAATCAAGCACTTCTTCCACTACTGACTGCAGCTTACAGCAATTTGCCATTACGTAATATCCATTGAAAAGCCACAATATGGACCTTATTAGACTTAATTAAGCAGTTTTCAAAGCTCATAAAAATGTTGGTAGAGCAATAACAAGGTCCACGTAAGGAGGGTGGGTCATAAAGAAGATTACATTTTGAGGAGTTGTCCCTAGAGTTCACAAAGGACTAAAGCGGTGATTTAAGGACAGTCGGGTATTTGAGGAGTGAAAAGACCAACTTCACGACTTTTATGATTCAGCGGGCTGGATAAAATCTGGACTTGATAACATCTCACACAGCATGGCTTCTGAGGTGAAGAATCTCAAACGTAGAACTAGTAAAGTTAAAATGTGTCAAAAGTTTGGTGCCATGTTCACTGAAGGAAATTGGGTTTTGCAAAAGCCTGGGTATATCCTTTCAAGTATTATATGTAAAATGTTAAGCTCTTTAGCCTACGTCTAGCCTCAATCACAGTAATCTGCATTGTGATTAGAAGTTTAAATATATTCTGTCTATTCCAATATCCTGGAGAGATTGGCTGCATATTAACCTTTATATTTATAGTGAAATTTGTCTTCTGCATTTGACCCATCCTTGAGTGCCACTAGGACAACCTGTCAGGAGCAGTGGGGGACCCATCTCTCTAGATCTTGAATGAAGCTTGGTCAGGGCTACCTAAGCTTTGGGTCAAACCAGTAAATCCAAAAGGTGTACTGATATGAGGTTTGATTGTTATTTATTTTAAAATAATGCAAGATTTTTAAACTTGACTTAAAAAAAAAAAGTAATAGTCACGATAATGTGACAATTCACCAGGAGTTCTTAGAAAAAAAGATGATGCATGTTATGGAATTTTGTGTCCCCTGCCTTAGCACGGACGCCTCCAATTCATTGTTGACATTTCTCTGTGTTTACTATGGTGTCATCCAACTATTACAGAATTTGTCCTTCTTTAACATTATCAGTTTCCTTGGTCAACTCATCTCTCAGGCACGGTCTGCCATGTTCTTCTCAGTTTATCTCTATCAGCTTTTCTACAAGCTGTCCTTCTTAGTTCCTATTTAAACCTTCTTGTGTAGAAGCATAGTCAGGCTTGAATAGCCATTACTAACAGTACAGTGTTAAGACTGATGGTAAATAAACGTCTCCTAGATGGTAAATAAACTTCTCCTGCCTCAGACATCCATAGTTGTTAGAACAAGACTTATTTTCGCTAACACTGCATTTTGCCCCTGGACCATAATTTGGACACAACTGACCTATGCATTTACCTATACAAAATCATCAGGAAAAACATACATTTTTAAAAGGTCAATGCAAATATATTATCCGGTGTAACACCAGCAGCATGGCAAACAGAGCAGCACCAAACTGCTGTACTTGTTTTTTCCTCATTAAAATTCTAAGGTTTGGTGAAGGGTAATTGATGCATCTTTAGTGCCATGTCAGCTCTGTGAATAGGCCAGCTGGGGTCACCACTTTCCTCTCCTCTCACCTCTCCCCCCTTTCCTCCTCTCCTCTCCTCCTTAAACCACCTCCATGACTAATTCAGACCCTAATAGAACATGGCAAGTGTTTTAATGAGCCAAACCGAAGAAGCCTCCAAGCAAAGCCGCAGTAACACCAAATCTGACCCTCTGAGAACTTCACTGAAAACCGGACCCCATTTTAATCAAGAGTAGCTTTCCTATCAGTATTCAGGACATGTAGCCTCTGTGGCACCATTTAACCTACCACCCGCTTAACTTCAGGTAAAGACAAGCAAGGCTATTGGTAATTCTCACAAAATAGACACTGCTGTTGAACTTGGGATAGCTTGACCTTGCCATTCAAAAGAGCAGGCCTATAAAAGAAGTTGGTTTTAAACGCTGCCCTCTAGAGTTTAAACTTTGTACACGTAATAGCCCTGGGCACAGCAATTTGTGAGTCTGAGATGTTCCCAGTTCTCTACAGCTAATAAATACTCCTATGTGTAAAGGGCAAGCAGTCAATATAAAGGATTAGAATACTGAAGTCAGGTTAGCTGCAAAGTGCAAGGATAGAATATAAAGACAGTAGTTACAGCTGTCCATCACTTTGGATGGAACACTTACCTATAGTCTGTTACTAAGAGGCGTTCATGTGCACTCACCTCAAAGACACACTGACCCCGGCACAGCTGATTATAGCAGGTAGTAAATTCTCCAATGAAATCATGGCTGTTTGAAGAAACAAAACAACTCTAGTCAATGGATGCAACATGAATAACTTACAATGAAATGTGTTTAAGGGACCACAAATATTGAGATAATGGAAATTAAGCAGGAAATAAGCAGAGCAAAATGTGGTTCTTTTCTATTTAGTTATGCCAGGGATGTGACTAGACAGAGATGTTATGGATATGTTGTGATATAAGCTGAGAGCTTTTACCTTCCATCTCTGTCCCAGTCGTAGATTTCCACTTTGATCGTTCTGAAAAATACAGCACAAAGCACATGGAGACTGTTTGCTTCTAGTAAACATTGGCAGCACCACGGAAAATCTTACATTTTAGCTACAAATATCCGTCAAAGGGCATTTTACATTTTACATAATGACAAAATAACAAAATGAGGCTCAGAATATTTCAGAAAAGGGGTATGTGCATTATCAAAGTTCCAACAGTATCCAACAATTGCAAAAATACCATCATCAAATGAATGGCCCGAGCAGACAAACTGAGCCAAAACAGATCATATGTCCCTGACAGAAAAGTAGAGAATAATATGGATGTTTGTATTCAGTGTTGCTTAATCAATCAATAACACATAATATGCAGATCCAAGGACTGCAGACATCCTGGTGTGCTAACCACTCATCCCTTATGATTTCAAGATGGAAAATCTAAATGGAGAATTGATCGAAAATGAAGACCACCAGATCAGATAGAGAGATTTGTGGAGCATTTTGTGGCATGGCCCTATCAGTGGTCTCCAGTCATGTGTGACCGGTCCGGCAGCAGCAGCAGGCGGATGGGGCAGAGGCAGGAGGTCCTGCTGTCCTGCCCTGACCTCCTCCCATCTGCCCTAAATGATACACACATCATTCTCTCCTTATGGAGTGGAGATAGAGAGGTTTGTCTAGTACTCAGACACTTGTCATCTGCATGTGAGGTCCAAACGCCACTGCTGACTGATGGACAAATAAACAAATGTGTTTTGACATTCAGACCACAGCAGCCTGGGCACACTGTCAGTCTGTCAACTTTAACCTTGCGTGATGGTACTTTATTTCTTACAAACTGGAGATGAGAGAAGAAGATGCACATATCTCAGGAGTATATAGTTTGATTCTTGGACAAACCAACTTAAACCTTGCTAAATGGAAACTGCAAGTCCTTGAATTCTGTTATAGGTTCTTGCTGGCTAAAATATAGTCATAGTAAATGAATGTGAGCATGAAGATCTGTCTAAACAGCATTGAATTTAAAAGGCTATTTGTTAGTTAGTAGTATGAAATGTATTTATCAAAAGGGGGAAGTACAAAGTCTACTGCTCTTCCCCAGTCTTTGCGACAAGTTTTCCTATTTTGTAAAAAAAAAAAAAAAGTCTAAGACTAATCACAGTTATTTACATTTAGAGAGTTGCTTTTGTGAAAAATGAATAGGAAAAAAAATCTGTCTTCCAAATAGCTTGTGGTGTTGACATTTTAAAACAGGCACACACTCTAAATTGTGACTGATTTTTTTTCTCAAATATTTTCCATGCCGCTGACCCAATTAGCCTGTGCTCGCAGCCAAGTCGCCTGCCCAGAGCCACCTCTGCTGACACCTGGAGTGGAGAGCCCAAGGTTTGACAAGACGATTTGAGCATATCTCCTAAATCCACTGCACCATCTCCTGTCAGCGTCCACACAAACCAGCAATCTCCACTTTCTACCCCTTATTTTTATTTCCCTGTCTGTCTCCCAAGAGTCCTGTTACACTGTGCACAGATTCTGATAAGATACAGGAGTTGCCACCAGAGCAGCCAATCAAATAGCCTGAAAAGATAGTTTGTGAAAATCAATGGAAATGCAGGCAAGGTGGTATCTAGCCGGAGATAGGGCAGTAATAATTCTCTGTTTGAACAGTGGATAAAGTAAGAGAGGAGAATCAATGGTGTCTAAATTTGACACATTCCAACTTGTTCTGTCACACACTGGTTTTCTCACTTCATGTCAGAGACATCAAGGTGCAATCAACAGGATAGAAGAGCAGACTGTAAAAATGTTTGGAAGGATACAAAGATGGCTTACCGCAGTGAGACAGCCAGTGATCCCAAATCAAAACTATAAGCAGAAGTGCACTTTTTGTTTTGGATGTGGTAAGTGTGGAGGGAGGGGTGCATTGTGGGAGCTTTATTATTTATTTATTTATTTATTATTTGTCTTTTTTTATGTATAATTTAAAATTTTTAAATAAATGAATAAAAAACAAGTGCACTTTTTGGGTGGTTATCTAGACGGACATCGTCTAATGAAGGTTGTCAAAAACGTAGATACTAATGAGTAGTACAATTTGTATTGAAACTGATTTGAACAAGGATTACTAGTGGAGATATAAAGCCCGTATATGAGAAAATTAACCTTTTGGAATGGTCATGATCTATAACTGAACAACAATAACATAAAAATAATAAGACCATAAGGTTACATGACTAAGCCCAGAAGAGCTTTATAATGTTTTTACCTCATCAAAAACAGACCTGGAGTTGTGTTTTGTTTCATTCGCACATGTTTCAGTAACCTTTTATTATTAGTCTGTTTACATCCCCAATGCTCAAAATGCTCTGTTTATTTTGTGATGTCACTTAGTGATAGTTTTCCAGATAACAGCTACCTCTTACTTTTTGTTTAGTAGAGATTGGAACTCCTAGGGCTGAAATCATCCAAGTGATTCTAGTGAAGGTGCATGGAGATTAAAAACAGAGTAGAGTACTTCCTGTATTACTAAATGACATCACAAGGTGGAACAAAGTGTTTTCTGAAGAAGAATAGAATAGAAGAATACATCCTAAATATGGAGGTTTATGTGTCAAACGTGTTCAGAAGCCCTGGATGACAAGTGTACCAACGAGGCCAGTTACGTCGCCCAGATTGGCGTCACCGGGGCCCCACCCTGGAGCCAGGCCTGGGGTGGGTGCTCGCCAGCGAGCACCTGGTGGCCGGGCCTTCCCTCATGGGGCCCGGCCGGGCTCAGCCCGAAGGAGTGACGTGGGGCCATCCTCACGTGGGCCCACCACCCGCGGGAGGATCCATATGGGGCGGCAGTCGATGGCGGGGGCCTCGGCGACTGGATCTCCGGACATGGAGACTAGCTCTGCGGACATGGAATGTCACCTCGCTGGGGGGAAAGGAGCCTGAGCTTGTGCGGGAGGTTGAGTGTTACTGACTAGATATAGTCGGCCTCACCTCCACGCACAGTTTGGGCTCTGGAACCCAACTCCTTGAGAGGGGCTGGACTCTCCATTTCTCTGGCATTGGCCGCGGGGAGCGGCGGCGGGCTGGTGTGGGTCTGCACATTGCCCCACAGCTCAGCCGCTGTGTGTTGGAGTTCACCCCGGTGAACGAGAGGGTCGCATCCCTGCGCCTTTGGGTCGGGGACAGGTCTCTCACTGTGGTGTCGGCCTATGGGCCGAACAGCAGTGCTGAGTACCCGGCCTTCTTGGAGTCCTTGGGAGGGGTACTAGACAGTGCACCGACCGGGGACTCCGTTGTTCTCCTGGGGGACTTCAACGCCCACGTGGGCAACGACAGTGACATTTGGAGAGGGGTGACTGGGAGGAACGGCCTCCCTGATCTGAACCCGGTGGTGTTCTGTTATTGGACTTCTGTGCTAGTCACGGTTTGTCCATAACGAACACCATGTTCGACCACAAGGGTGTCCATAAGTGCACGTGGCACCAGGACACCCTAGGCCGGAGGTCGATGATCGACTTTGTAGTCGTGTCATCTGATCTCCGGCCGCGTGTCTTGGACACTCGGGTGAAGAGAGGGGCTGAGCTGTCAACTGATCACCACCTGGTTGTGAGTTGGGTTCGCTGGCGGAGGAGGAAGCCGGAAAGATCTGGCAGGCCCAAGCGTGTAGTGAGAGTTTGCTGGGAACATCTGCCGGAGCCCTCTGTGGAGGGACTTTCAACTCGCACCTCCGGGAGGACATCTCCCGGATTCCGGGGAAGGCTGGAGATATGGAGTCCGAGTGGGCTTCATTCTCGGCCTCTATTGTCGATGCGGCTGCTCAGAGCTGTGGGCGTAAGGTCTGTGGTGCCTGTCGCGGCGACAATCCCTGAACCCAGTGGTGGACACCGGAAGTAACGGATGCTGTCAAGCTGAAGAAGGAGTCCTATCGGGCCTTGCTGGCTCGGGGGACTCCTGAGGCAGCTGATGGGTACCGGCGGGCCAAGCGTGCTGCAGCCCGTGCGGTTGCAGAGGCAAAAACTCGAAGCTGGGAGGAGTTTGGGGAGGCCATGGAGGAGGACTATCGGATGGCCTCGAAGAGATTCTGGAAAACCGTCTGGTGCCTCAAGAGGGGGAAGCAGTTCTTCACCAACACTGTTTACAGTGCGGGGGGAGAGCTGTTGACCTCAACTGGGGACGTTGTCCGGCGGTGGAAAGAATACTTTGAGGATCTCCTCAATCCCACTGTCACGTCTTCTGAGGAAGAGGCCGAGGCTGGGTACTTGGAGACGGACTCATCCATCACCCTGGCTGAAGTCACTGAGGTGGTTGGAAAGCTCCTTGGTGGCAAGGCTCCGGGGTTGGAAGAAGGGGGACCGGAGGCTGTGTTCCAACTATAGGGGATCACACTCCTCAGCCTTCCCTGTAAGGTCTATGCCAGGGTACTGGAGAGGAGAATCCGGCCGATAGTCGAACCTCGGATCCAGGAGGAGCAGTGTGGTTTTCGTCCTGGCCGTGGAACACTGGACCAGCTCTACACTCTCCATCGGGTGCTCGAGGGTTCATGGGAGTTTGCCCAACCAGTCCAAATGTGCTTTGTGGATCTGGAGAAGGCATTCGACCATGTCCCTCGGGGTGTCGTGTGGGGGGTGCGCTGGGAGTATGGGGTCTGGGGCCCTTTGCTAAGGGCTGTCCGGTCCCTGTATGACAGGAGCAGGAGCTGTGTTCGCATTGCTGGCAGTAAGTCAGACCTGTTCCCAGTGCATGTTGGACTCCGCCAGGGCTGCCCTTTGTCACCGGTTCTGTTCATTGTATTTATGGACAGAATTTCTAGGCGCAGTCAGGGGCCGGAGGGGGTCCGGTTTGGGGACCACAGGATCTCATCTCTGCTGTTTGCGGATGATGTTGTCCTGTTGGCTTCATCGAACCAGGACCTGCAATGTGCACTGGGGCGGTTTGCAGCCGAGTGTGAAGTGGCTGGGATGAAGATCAGCTCTTCTAAGTCCGAGGCCATGGTTCTCGACCGGAAAAAGGTGGCTTGCCCTCTCCAGGTGGGTGGGGAGTCCCTGCCTCAAGTGGAGGAGTTCAAGTATCTCGGGGTCTTGTTCACGAGTGAGGGGAGGAGGGAACGTGAGATTGACAGGTGGATCGGTGCAGCTTCGGCAGTGATGCGGTCGCTGTATTGGACCGTTGTGGTGAAGAATTTACCGGTCAGTCTTCGTTCCTACTCTCACCTATGGTCATGAGCTCTGGGTAGTGACCGAAAGGATGAGATCGCAGATAGAAGCGCTCGAAATGAGTTTCCTACGCAGGGTGGCTGGCGCTCCCTTAGAGATAGGGTGAAGAGCTCAGTCACACGGGAGGAGCTCGGAGTAGAGCCGCTGCTCCTCCACGTCGAGAGGAGCCAGTTGAGGTGGCTCGGGCATCTGTTCCGGATGCCTCCTGGGCGCCTCCCTCGGGAGGTGTTCCAGGCATGTCTTACCGGGGGGAGGCCCCGGGAAAGACCTAGGACACGCTGGAGGGACTATGTCTCTCAGCTGGCCTGGGAACGCCTCGGGATTCCCCCGGAGGAGCTGGAGGACGTGTCTGGGGTGAGGGAAGTCTGGGAGTCCCTGCTTAGGCTGCTGCCCCTGCAACCCGGCCCCGGATAAGCAGACGAAAATGGATGAATGGACGTGTGAATGAATCGAAACAACTCCAGGTATGATGAGGAAACAACATTATAACATAGATCAGAAAATAGCACATACAAGTTTTTAATACCGTTGCAGTACTGTACGACACTGAGCCTTTTTCTTAGTAAAATAAAAATAGTATTTTGTTCTCTACTGTGACAACACTGCTTCTACTACTTCTACAGCACTACCTCTACACCCCACTTTGCAGACTGCTACCATTACCTGGCTGCTTTTAGATAGACAAGACCTTCTCTGACCCATGCTCCAGTAAACCACATTGATTTTCTGCTAATTTAATCTTTTCCATCTCTCCCTAATATCCTTTTTAGCACATAAAAATCCACCATTTCTGCCACAATACTTGACAGTAACACTTATTCTCGTATAAAATAAGGAGATGGAAAGCCAGGCTCCATCATGCTTGAGTGTACCTGTCGTAGTCTCCGTTGCACAGCGCTCTGACAGGAATGGAAAAGGGCTGCCACACCGGGTTCAGCGTGCTCTTTACCACCTCCGTCTTATGGCAGATGGTGAACCTGAAGACACAGGTCAGAAGTGATTTTAAATTCAACTCAGAAAACCTCTCCCCACTGTGCCTACACTGCCTGCACTTAAAACACCCGACCTCCTTCTGCTGACCTCATCTGCCCTTCCCTTTTGATCATTCTCCACAGTTGTGATAGCTATATTAAAATGGATTGCTAAACAACACTGAATAAATGCTTCCCAAATCAGGTCCCATTGGAGCTCATTGAAATTGTTTTCATCCTGTTTTTAGACAACCTTGTGTGCACAGCAGTTTTGGGGAAATCCTCTGTGTCTGAACTGAACTCTGGGGTAATTCTGAACAAAAACAGAAGTGGTTTTGTAAAAGGAGGGACAGATGTGGTCATAACTGCCTATTTTGGTTGTAATGGGTTGTTTATTACTGGGTTTCAGATAACATCTCAACATTATATAAGCCAATAATATTTAGGAGGCAGCTAAAGTTAATATAGCTAAAATGCAAATTTTAATATGACTTAGATTTAGGCAACATTACTGATCCACAAGGGAAATTATTTGGACAGAGTAACTTACACATCACAATAAATTATAATAACACAGAGCAACAATATAAATAAGCAGCAAAAATAGACTGATGTCAAATAAAGCATAACTATATAAATGTATATCTGCAAGTAAAAATAAAATATAGAAATACAGTAATACGAATGTATCTCAGTTATATACAAGAGGTCGTAAGGAGAAACAGTGCAAAGATGAAATAATGATGATGACATGACATACAGTGAGTCTGATCAAGTTAAACTTTTCTGCATTTCCCTTTTAGATATTTCCTGGTGTATGTAATTGATAATGTAATCCTGTCTGTGAGTATGCTACTATCACATTTTACAATCTGAAAACCACTAATTGCTGAGTTTCAGATGACATCATAATATTCTATAGGCCAATATTATTTAATACAGATCAGGGGCAGCTAAAATGAATACTGATCTCCTGCAGATTTTTGTTGCAATATAGAATGGTCTTGAGTAGGAATGTAACAGTAACCGAAATATCAAGATATCATATCATCAAAAGTCTCACAATAATATCGTGGATTGTCACAGTATACCAAATCACAAATTTCTTTGCTTAAATGCATGGTTTTATAGTAGCAACGGATTATAAACATGGAGAACTACATATCCCATGATTCATTTCAGTGCAGACAACATGAAGATATATGTTTTTTTACTTGAATTCTTGAGATTGTGACAGTAATAATTCACACTAAAATCTTGTTAATGTATTTGTAAAGCAAAAAAGTGTCCCATCTTTCATTTATAGCCTCTTCAAAATATCACAATAAATATCGTACACTGAGATGCACACTGTGGTAATATTGTACTATGAGATTTGGATATTGTGACATCCCTAGAATATGACAATAAATGTTGTACCAAATGACTGGTCAAAGCATTTTATAATGTTAGTCTTGTCATTATGTATAATATCATAATATTGTGAGTCTCCCAACCATATCCTAAGCTTTCCCATGATATCACAATAAATATCGTACCGTGAGGTTCATACTGTGACAGCATCGCATCATGAGACTTGGATATCGTTACACCCCTAGTCCTGGGTCTAGTCGATAATAGAAATGATGAGGTTCCATATTTGGGAATTTAGCTTTCCAATATTTCATGGTAAAGTACAACAATGTAATTAATAGGAAAAACTGTCTGTGAGTGAAACCTGTTAAAGAAACCAATCAAACTCACGTGCCATCTTCATTGCTTCTGTAGAAAACCATAAAAGGATCGGACTTCCCAAAAAAGTCCTTCTTGTCCAGTTTGTTGGCACAGAATTGCATGGTGGCACAGTCCTGTGGAGAGAAACAGATAGGGAAATAAAACTTAAGAACATTGTGAATCTTCGGTGCCTTGTTTGTTTGTGCAAGCTGGTGCCAAGAAATAAAGGCAATAGACTGGCACCACATACAGGCAAAGTGCTGACTAAATTGTAATGAGCAAGAAGTCTCCCACACCTGCACAGGCATTCATTATCACTTCTTTATGCATCTCCAGTGTAACAGTGGTGCATGTTATAAAAGATAGCACACTGGAGCTGCTTGATGTTGGATATAATCATAGTAATAGTACGAGAGACAATGCAGAGCTGTGCAAAGTAATGGCTTCTAAAATGGGGCTCGCAGAGGAGGGGGCTGTGTACAAAGAGGATGTGGGGGGTACAAGTGCTGCTAATGATACATTACAAAGCCCGGTATTACCATAATTATGCTCATTTAGCTAGCATTTCACCGTGTGCTGCCATTTACAAGGACAATGAATATGCTTCATAATGCTCTTGGTTCCACAGAGTCCACGCTGGTCAAGGTAATAGAAAGCGTTGAATAATAATGAGGCAATATGGCAGACAGGTGGAAGGCGCCAACTAAATAGATAGGTCACTGCCTAGCTCAATTTCATTACTAAGTTATAATACAGAATTGCAATGATTTAACCAGGAGGGCAGTTTGTGGTCTTAAGTGATCAATGAGATTTACATGTGTCAAATGCATTATACACAAACATTTTACTCAAATGAATCACCCATTGGCCAAATAAAGTTGGAATCAGGCTGGGCTATTTATTAAATGACTATTTCATTAATTGACTTTCATTTTGAGTTGTCTAACAAACTGTAAAAAGAAGGCTCTAATCTTTATTCAACTAATATTTCACTACACAAATAAATGCTACCGTTTGAACATGCCATGCTCAATAACAGGATGTATCTGCATAATCTGCCTTAGGATTCAGCATTACTTTTGAATATTTCATCCAAGTTCTGACACTGATGATGCAACTACCCTGTCATCACATTTAGATATCAAAGATTGGCCCCTTAGAGCGGTAAACAGGCGCTTTACTTCCTGCTGCTTTGGGGTTTGAGGGTGTAAACGTGAAGCTATTAGATCAGACTGTGCTCAGCCCTGGGTCAAACCTCCATTGATCGGTTTGACCCAGATCAGAGGCATGTTCCCACTGTGCCGAGCCCTGACTGCCCCAAACCACAGAGCTATAGGAGCCATTCACATTCAACATGAGCAATACAGGATAGGGGCTTATCTCATAAAAGTACAAATACATGAACTGGGTAGAAGTAAGACTCAAGAAAAAGAAATGGTTTAAACAACATTTTAACATCTCCACATGTAATATTATGATTTTTTTTTTTCAATTTCTGTCAGATTGCCCATTTGTTGGCATTACACAGTACAATATAAATCATTGTTTACCAAATACTGGGTCGTGATGCTCAGGTGGGTCATAAGAGTTTTATTTTGGGTCACTTTGTCATGATCTGCATGTAAGTCTGCAATATACAGTTCTGACACATGACACATCTAGGCTCACAAAAATGAAGACAAAGCACAGAAACAGACTGAACGCTGTGTCTGATCTGCTGCTACGCTCTCCTCCTGCACTCCGGACTGGAACAGTCTACAAAAACACAGACAGGCCCACCGATCTCATTAGAAATGCTGAAATGTTCAGACATTTTTTGTATAATTTCTAATCTTTTTGGAATTATTTTATTGACAATTTGGTTCCAATATTGCTGGTTCAATTGAATGTTTAAAAGCAAAAGAAATGGGCTACATTTAATGTCCAACTAGGCTAGTTACAGACACCTTTTATTGCTTATTTTTCATTGTTTAAAACTTGAGTAATACTAATTGTTCAGAGACATGATCACTCAGTCAACAATAAAATATCCTCATTAAGGTTCAGTAATGGTCAAATCCACCTTTATTTTGTTATTTACGAAGAATGTCTATTGACTTGGGTCAGAAAGGTTTGAGACTTAAAATATGGGTCCCCAGAAAAAAAGTTTGGGAAACACTGATATAAATCATGCTAAGCCAATTTTGGAATGGATTTAATTAAGTAAGTATAATTGCAATTAGATTTGCAATATAGGCCTATTCTGTTTAGAGTATACATGGTATACATATCCAGGAATGCCCAGAGAAGACTGAAATATGAACTGATTGTCTAATACAAGAATCCCATAATTGTTAATTGCAGGCTTTGTGGTTTGATGTGCCAGTGCAAAAGTGAAGAATGCTTAAGCAATTGTAATATAGTATGCATCCCTAAAGCATGTATGACAATGCTACTTCACAATTGTTCATTCTTTGTACCACATTTTGTATATTGACTGATTGCTCTGACACAGTTTCAGACCATCACAAATAATGATGGAATTCTTCTTTGGTTTTGGCACATTACATTTGCAGACAAATGATCACTGGTCAGACTATATCTCACTAAAGGGGACCTAAGTAAGACAGAATCGGTATTTCATTAAATTTTTCAGTGCAAAATTTTATGGCAGCAGCTTGCACTCTCTGTCCTTAACGCCTCATCTTTTTACCACTTTTATGAGAGATGTGATAGTTTAAAGTTTTTGAGAAACAGAAGAATTACATTTGCTCCCTGATGTCAGTAATAGCTTCATATGCTCTTGAGAAAACCAGCAGAAGTGATTAGCGCTGTTGTTTCGCCCTGTTTCCAATCATCTCCCTGAGGATTTCAACCTAAGAGCTCTGCTAAGTGCTGATTAAAACAGTCAGAGGCCGCTTGTGGCTTCAGTGATTTACAATATAGACTGGCGCATGGCAGGACATCTCAAAGTGAGTAAATTGGCTATGAATCCGGCAAGTTATGATGACATCTTGTGTTGTTGCAAGTTTTATACTCTTGATAGCTTTTTACATAACCGCTAAATTGCCAACTTCACGCTGCGTCTCATTTGTGGATTAAAAAACTACAGTGTCATGAAACTTCACTTCAGCAGGTTATAGAGACCTTAAAGTTGTTTTTTCATTTTAACAATGGTTACAAGGAGAGCTGCTATAGCCTTGACATGGCCTTCACAATTACTATGTAGCAGCAAAATGGTGCTGCAAGCTTCCACATAACAGCATGTGGTGCAGGCCTCTCATTAACTAGAAAAAGAAAGAAGATTCAGTGGAGCTGGAGGTTTAGGTGTACCAAGGGAATACTCCACACTGCTGTCCTGCTGTTTCTCTGCTCTGCCAAGAGACAGCACTGCATAGAGAGAGATGCACAATGTCACAGTGTAAAGTGTGAGTGGGTTTTCAAAGCCCTGTGGATGTGTAGGTACTGTCACTATAGGCGTGCACAGCACTATAGGACCAGTGCTGTGCATGTAAATGTCACATTGAAATGGCCATAGATAGTGATCCATAGCCATTTCAGTGATATATATATGTGTGTGTGTGTGTGTGTGTGTGCGTGCGTGCGTGTGTGTGTGCGTGTGCGTGTACGTGTGTGTGTGTGTGTGTAAAACTGACATAATGATTGACATGGTACATCATATTTGTTTTTCACAAGGCCAGGAAACCATGTAATGTAAAGCTTCATGACTGTAACTCAACCATCCTTACAATATTTGGACTTTCTTACAGTAATTATGTCGGAGAAGTTTGAGGGTGATTAGAGTGATTAGAGAGTTTTGCGTGACAGCTGATGGTTGTGTTTATCTGGCAGCCTACTTGGTTCTTTTCTTTCTTTCCCAGTGAGAATTCTGAACTTGGGAGTGTTCCAAATGGAATCACCAAGTTTAGATGTTAAGAAACACCACAAAAATCTCTGAGACAAACTGCAAACTGGTTTTGTTAAATTTGTATGTTTTGGTTTCTTTTTGTATTTTCCTTACCTACAAGTCAGAGTGGATTATAGTCACTCTGTGTGTAATACCCCAGTGACACAGATGTGACTCATGTAACAGATGCATGACATAAACTTGTTTTTGTTCAGCTCGCTTGAGCTGAAGGACTCACATCTATGGTTTAGTAGAAACTACAGACAGACTGAGGACACTGGTACCAAAACATATATATACTAGAGCCCGACCGATATGGATTTTGTTGTGGCTGATATGAAACTGATAAAATGGGAGTTGGAGCTGCCGATAGCTGATATAATCGCCGATATATTTAGTGATGTAAAAATTTACTGTAAATCTTGAATTGTTTAAAAAACTTACGTTTGGCTCTGGTGGATTTTAAATTGGGTTTATTTAGGCAACATTTATTGTTATTCTGCCTCTTTACGTCATATTTACACACAGTAGGTTGGCCTAATGGCATTTTTGCATCACATTCTAGCTATTAGTGATGGGTATTCCAGTCCTTTTTAGAGAACCGGCTCTTTTGGCTCAGCTCACTAAAAGCAACCAGCTCTTTCGGCTCCCAAGCAGCTCTTCAGATTGTTTTGTTGCAAGCAGGATTAAACCAGGACTAAAGCAGGTCTAAAGCACGTCTAAACCAGGACTGAAAAAGGACTAAACCAGGACTAAAACAGATCTAAACCATGTGTAAAGCAGGACTAAACCAAAACTGAACCAGGACTGAGTGTCGGGACTCGGTCTCTATCTCTCTCGCACTCTCAAGCCCAAGATTAGTCCTGGTTTATTTATTTTATGCTGAACTACAGCCAAATATGTAAGTTTTTTCTATCCTATGCACATGCAGATTTCTGAAAGTTTTGTTTCGAGCCGCTGCCGCTGTCAAACTACCACGAGTCTGCACGCAGCATGAAGAGAAAAAAAGTGAAAGAAAAAAAAAACCTGCAGCTCCCAGTAAGGATCAGGCTCCCGTTGTTCGCTTCAAAGAGCCGGCTCTAAGAGCCACTTCATTCGTGACCGACCCATAACTACTAGCTAGTAAAGAAACTACCGCTATTAGCCCTTAGCCGTAAATGCTGCGCGCCGCGGTAATTAATTATATGTGCAAATGTCATAATTCACACGTCTCTTCGCAGCTCATTTACATATCAATGTAGCTTCCAGTAACAAATATACAGCCAATATAGTCACTTTACAATAGGCCAGTAGAAAACAGCCTGTTTATGTGTAGGAGTTACAGAAGCTGATCGCTAATAACAAATAACCAAAACTAAATTCAAAGTCGACATATTTGCAACACTCACCTCTCACAGAGGCTCCTCCTCACATCACAAGTCTGCACTAATAAAAGTCCTTTTAATCCAGACTCAAACCGATTGTCTGTAAAAAGAATATGATCTAAGTGTTTGGATCCGTGTCTGCGAGTGTAAACAAACGCAAGTGAGTAACGTGACGTGAGTGACGTGACGTGAGTGACGTGACGTGACGTGACGTGACGTGACTGACGTGACGTGAGTGATATGACGTGAGTGACATGACGTGAGTGACATGACGTGAGTGACATGACGTGAGTGACGTGACGTGAGTGACATGACGTGAGTGACATGACGTGAGTGACGTGTGTTCAGGGACAGTACGGACACACACACAGATAACTGATACTGATGCGGAGCCACATATTAGGACATTTATCTGTCTGTAAATTGGATTAAATGAACATAATGTAGAGAGTCTATGATTTATAACGATGTATCACATGCCCACGTGAAATATCGGCCCCTATCAGCAAGCATATCGGCAGATAGCCGATATGTCTCCAGGTGCCCATTTCAGCCGATAATATTGGGCAACCGATATATCGGTTGGGCTCACGCATATGTGTGATGTTCACAAACATTTCATTGTTAGAAGTGAGTTTAAAGAAGATGATGGGGCACTATAAATTTATTATTAAAATATTAGAATTAGCCACATGTATTTCTCCTATTGATTTAGAGATACACATACAGATGCAGAGCTTTTACAGAGGCGCCACAGGCAGCGGGCTGTACACTTAGTGCCAGAGAAACCTTTCTTTGATCCACACTGTTACTGATACTGCCCAACCAGATGTGTGCCAGTCCAGAGAGCCACCTGACCAGCTACAAGACCACTTTCCCAGCTACTGTCTCCAAGACAATCCCCTCTCCCTCCAGCTGTTTACCTTGGGGCTGGGTTATTGGTCACAACACTATAAATCTCAATTCACAAGGGACAGCACACATCTAAATGTCTTGCAATGTATGCTATTTTCTTTATGGGGAAACTGTGCTTTTGGTCTCAGGGTTAACCGCTATAAACATGAGAGGGTTATAGTGACATGTCAAAGCAGTGACCCTCTAAATGAGCCACTGACACAGGAGAGACTCGTTGTCACAGAGATCATCATTTGCATTTATATGAGAAAATTGCTTCTGGAGAGGGGCTTTCCAGTGTTGCTGCTAACAGCTCTACACCTGATAAGTCACAAGCCTGCTACATCTGTCGTATACGGGGTTATTGGAAGACATATTTGTCAAAATACAATTACTGTGAAGTGGCATTAGATTTTTTCCAAACTGATGAACACACTAGACATAATATAGGAGATGGATCTTTGCCACAGAACAAGCAGATGGAGGTGTTCCTGACAGGATAAGCCCACTTCAATGGGATGGGACTGCTGTTTCATGACACATTCAATTTTGGTGCAGAATAGAGACGTTCATGAATACTACATGGAACCAAGCAACAAGACTAGAATGGAAATCTGTAAACAAGTTGTTCAAATTTTTATTATTGGTTGTTACTTTTAGTTTAGGTATGACTGGATATTTAAACAATTTGACTATTATATAAAAAAAAAAAAGGTTATTTTGTCTTGATTTACATATTATGAAACTCTGTAAAATGATATGTGTATTTTATTATTATTTTTTTTTACATTTTACATAGGTTCCTGGGTTTTATGTTCAAGTGGGATATGCTTTAGATATATGAACGTTATTACACCTCCTTCCACTTTTGAGCTGTAAAGAGCAGTGCGCCTCCACCATCCACCTCACAGCCTCAACTTGGCTCCCGTCCATTCACCTCATCGTTTGCACTTGGCTCCCAGTGACTATTTTATACTCCTGAAACTGAAGAATGGATAGAAGCCACACTTTGAAGCTGTAAATTTTATTTGGGAAGTTATAGAGAATCGAGAGATAGCTGAGCCTTTTGTCCAACCACAGGCTCATTGGGTTCAGGGCTTTCTGATTAAAATCCTAAACCTAGCTTTATGTAATATTTATTAAAGCTGCACTTTGTAATTTTTCTGAAGTAGGGTGTACACCTGCTTGCCTCCATGGAGTACAGCATTAAACCTATCTGTCTCTATGGAGACAAGCAGGTGGCAGTCAGATCTGTGGAGAGGTGAGCATGCAAAGAGTAAGAATGCATGCTTTTCAAGAGATTAAAACCACATTGTAATTGAATAATGCAATTATGGTTATGTAACTATATGTTGAGTTGTCAATGATGAGAATGGTTTATGTTGTTTGTTCTTATGTACAATTATAATGTATATATATATATGATGTTGATGAAAATGGACTTACGTAAGCAACTTACTTCAGTGTGTGACAATTGTGAATGGGTGAGTTTTTTTTTTTTAAAGCGCTTTGAGTGCCTTGAAGGTGGAAAAGCGCTATAGAAAAATGTGACCATTTACCATTTACATATATATATATATATATATATATATATTTTTTTTTTTTTTTATTTATTAATTTATTTCCCTTGTGAACAACCAAAAATAAACTTCATTCATTCATTCAGTGCCACACATAGCAAACAAAACAATAACATCTTAATACAGATAAACATGATGGCTTTTCTGTGCTGCAATGATAAATATTTTACGGTGCATTTTCCTTGTTAGTGCACAGCACAGTTCAAGGGCAGCATTAGCACCTTCAGGTACAGCGCATAACAACCTCGCCACTTTCAACCTGCCCAACCGTGCTGAATGTGAGTGCGCCCCAAACCATTTAAACGCCCAGGGTCATACCTCAGAGGCCTAATTCCCCCACAGGCCCAGCGGTAGTGGCCATCTTTATCGCCCCTGTTAGCTTTGTGGTCAATGAGCCTCTCTGCCTTCTCCACTGGCAGCGTCGTAACACAATTATTTACTATGTTCATTTAGCGCCGTGGATAGAAAGCCAATGGACATTAGCGAGCGTGGTGTGTTTATACAGATGAATGAGTTAACGCTTCGCAAACAGGACAAAATTGCTGTTTCAGTGATTGGGATAAACACAGCCTCATTAAACTAGATCTTCAAAGACGTAGAATATTCAGTAGCATTTTGCAAAAGACGGATAACACTGCGACACACAAGTCAAAGCTATTAGCCAACCCACTTTAGTTCAGAGCATTTGTAAACAGTGCAAAGAACACTAATATAATTCAAGCCACACGCGCAATTGTCTCATACAATTTCGTACCGACAGCCCATAATACATCAGCAGTAGTGAGTTAATGAAGTCAGAACTAAGAATAACAGTGGTAACAATTAAATTATAAACAAATAAATCAATAAAATGCTTTTGGCAAGTAGATCTGCAGCATCGTAATGTGTCTTTGGACAGCTATTAGTTCAGTTCTTTCCAGAGTAAGATCAATTATAATTTAGCTTAAACATAGATGTCCAGTGATCATTATCAATTCAGAAAAGATAGCCCAATGTCAAATCAATAATTGTGCGTTAACACTTTCCATTGAAATAACATTAAACTTTATTACCCTAGAAGAAGTCAATAAATATATAGTCTGGTATCTTGATATAGGCCAGGCCACATGGCAAGCCCAGTGGTCATGTTTTTAAATGTTTAGACTGGATGGCAAAATTGTTTTAACAAAGCTATTACAAAAAGTAGCCCATGAATAAAATCTTGTGGGTTTTTTTTTTTTTTGTTGTTTTTTTTTTGGTCTCTGTAGCAATGTTTTATTCAACTTTGACCACTGTGTACGTGATTGCATGTTTCACAGCAGCACAATTTGTCAAGAGTTTTGTGTTTGTTTGTTTGAAGAATCTAAATGAGAACCAAAAATGAGGCACTTTGACTCACCCTGCAGTTGCTTAGCTCCTCCGCGGACAGAATAATGGTCCCACATTTCTTCCCGGGTATGCCTCTGTTAAAAGAAAATATTTCATTATCAAGAGGGTATTTTTTTTGTGAAACTACAACACAATATTCAAATGTCAGGACTAAACACAAATTAAATTCATATGAGAAAGCTGTTTTGTAATGAGTTTTCAGACCCTTTTGTTGTCATGCTCCAACTTATTTTAGATGAGTGGCCGACTCAACATTTATGTAAATCTGAGTTTCAGTTTTCTCAGTTTGTGAAAAATTGGATTTCAGGGGTATAACAAATTACTTTTCTGGGTATGAACAAGCTGATTTATGTAACCATTTGGATTTACAACATTCATAACAAGATCAAGGTGTATTCATTTTAATTGTCAGATAAGTACAGAATTCCTTCTATAATTGCCGTTTTACGTGCGATTACAGTGGCATGCTGGCAGCTTTAATAATAATATTTTTAAAAAAGCATTTGTGATAATAACTTTTACATATGGCCTTTTAGCTTTTCATTTTCCTATTAAATCTCCATTTTGAGTATTTGTGGTCCCTCAGACAACCTCAATCACACAATCTTGACAGCCCACTTCCACTGCCTCTCTCTTTTGTAGCAACAGAAAAACTAATCCTAAACGTCCAACTGTAGTTTCTGAAGTGGAACCAAATCTCAGTCACTTCACTTCAGAGAGAGTCCATCCAAGTGAACACAACACGACAGCGTATCCGCTTTCCAATCACGCTCCACTCCAGCTGCCACCGCGCTTGTCATCTTTCCGGATAAAGACGGAAATTACATGGGCGTCCTGCTGCGGCCTGAGCTGGAGCACATCATTAGAAGGTTAGAACCACCGTGGAGCTCATCTAGATACTGAGAGACAGAATGGGGAGTTCTTAAACTGCACAACAATGTCCTTTTGGAAGTTTGAGGTGACTGGCTACATTTCAGTTAGGGGGATGAGAGGTGTAATGGTGGAGTATATTATAAAGCATAATATAAAGAAAAAGAGATGCATAGGCCTATGTTGGTCCACTCCACTATTTACTTAAAAACACCTAAACACAGAAACACTGTTTGTTAACATTTTACTGCTACAAAAGTACACAATGGAAGAGTGGTGTACCTTTCAGCAAGGAGGTTATGAACTATACAAAAGTTGGCAGTAATCCCTCATCCATCTAGGAGTGGTCCAAAAGTTTTATGCGTAGGACTGTAGATCAGTAAAATATCTAGTGTCTCAGGCCAGTACCATCAGACTGAAAATGATGCCTGGAGTCAAAATGTCTTGATTTCAAAAATAGTGTAGATGTGACTTTTGAAACCTTCTTTACCTTAGTAATGACAAAAGGTTCAAAAGGTGATTTGTAGAATTATAGCAAATGTGTGAGTGAAGGTTTGTAAACACAGTTTGTCTCTGCCCTGAAAACCTTATTGAGGAGACCCAGTGTAACATTGTACATTCGGGGATAGGCATCAAACCAGTGTCGTCGCTCCGCACACTCACCTTATGCACAGCACGTAGGGCACCAAGTGCTTGCAGGAGCACCACCAAAAAACCAGGCACGTGAAGCCTCGCAAGAGAGAGACAAGAAGCAGGGGCCAGCGTGAACAGAATCCCCCAAAATCTCCCTTTCTCTCTCTTTCTCTCTCTCTCTCTCTCTCTCTCTCTCTTCCTCCCTTACTTTCTCTCTCCCTCTATTTCTCTCTCCCTCAGGGTCTGGACCTCTACACATGCCAGCAGATAGACTCTTTGCAGAGAAATTTTCACTTTCAGATTCTTGTTTAAAGTTCCTTGATTGAGTAAATTCTATTGCGCAATTATTTGTACTTATGTACATTAATAAATGTGCATATTATTACTTACAAGAGTATGTACTTGTTCTGTGTTTACAATGTTAAGTTCAATGTTCAGTCTGCAGTCATTGCACAAATCTTTGTTTATAGTAATGGTGGTGGTATTTAGTTATTAACCTTGTTTAACAATTTATTATTTTAACTTTCATGTTTGGTGTATTTGTTTTGGAAATAAAGTGAATCGCACTGATAAATTCTGATTTATTGTTCATTCCAGGTGGACATGGGTGGGGTGAGGTGGGGCACCACCAAGCATTTGTGCTTAGGGCACCCAAATGGCTAGCAATGGCCCTGCTCCAGACCCTTATACAACCCTCATACAATGCAAATCCAAAAATGAGCTGTATCAAAAAAAAAATTTTTAATTCGTTTCACAATTGTTTATATTAGGTATGTATAGTTTATCATGCTTGCATTTAACCCAAAGGTCGCTGGGGTAACCGGTCAGGAGCAGTGGGGACTCCACACAGCTCCAGATGTTGAGCTAGGCTTGGTCAGGACTACTACTCTATGTTTAGGGTTGAAGGGGAAAATAGGAGTGCCAGTGAGAAACCCATCCAGACACAGAAAGAAACATGCCAACTCTGCACAGAAAGACCTGGGAGTCAACCACCCATGTATTATGCATTGACAAGTCTCACTTTTCGAAGAAGTATTGATTTGACTTGAAGGGAAGACTTCCACATAGGTTACTAAGGTTTACTACACTTCCAGAGCGATGCATTACTGAAGAGGGTAAACTGCAGCTATGGGACTCGATCAGATACAGAGCACTTCCTCTTCCTTATCTAACAGTGCAGGAAACACTGTGAAGACTTAAAGAAATATGGTATGTGTGTTTTCCATTAACCTCTGCTGGCTTCTTCAGTGTGCCCATTGTCAGTATACATATTATATCTAATGCCCAATAAAAGAAAGCGTATCAGTTAGATCAATACCCTTTTCTCCAGAAGATACTCATATATTTTTATAACACTGCACACAAGGTTTAAGGCTATGAACAAAAGATACATCAAACACGAAAAAGGAGCTCAAGGAGAAGGCCAAGTGAAGAAATAAGGCTTTGACTCACCACCATCTCATACATGGTCTATCATTTGTTCGTTTCGAAAGGGAATCTTTGTTGTATAACTGTCCAGAATGCTTTTGGATTATTTGTGATATTCATGATGACAGATTAATATTTTTAATAAATATGTTTTATTATGAGCACATTTTAATACTGTATGTAATTAATAGACTTTACTTTTATATTACATTTTTATAAGATTCATTACTTCATACCAAGATCTGTCTGAAAGGGAATTACACAAACTTGAATTATGGTTGTGCTCAAGTGCGCCCTGGATGACATCTGAATGTTTATAGCCTTTTTGTTCCAAGGACATGAGACCAAGATGAGCTCCAGAGGTCAAGTTATCTCTCTGCCCTAACGCTGTTCACGTGTAGCCTTTGAAAACTGCAGAATAAGATCCAGTGGTTTATAAAATGCCTTGAAGGAGGCTGAGAGAGATACTCTAATCACTGCAGCGGTGAGAAGAGCAGGCACCAAAAGGGCAATGGTCTCTGAAATGAGCCATGCATTATTGAGCACGGCATTTCCTCCTGACAATGACTGCTTAACTGGAAGGCACGCAGATTTCTTTATAGAGAGGTTGTCTGTTTGTACTAATAAACTAGACAGAATTAGACTGGAATCAACGTTACATTCATAACACAATTTAATGTATGTTTGCAATAAATTTAATGTGAGTTTGCAACCAGCACAAAAGCTACACTGGTTTTAGACTAGGTTAGATTAAATATGTCTGTGGTACATGGTGATTGGATGGTGGGGAAAGGAAAATAAAGGTGCACTGTGTAACTTTTCAGGTTGGTGGTCCGCTACGATGGAGATGTTATGACTTCACCTGTAATGTTCCACAACATGGTATTAGACGTATATAAGATGCATTTATTCAATTATGGGTGTTTTTATTGCTCAAAAATACCTTTGTAGTGGGATCACTTCCCAGATTAAACTGGCCTGGTATCATCTCCTACTTGCCTCTATGGAGAGCAGTGTTGGGGAGTAACGGATTACATGTACTGGAGTTACGTAATCTGAGTACAAATTATGAGTAACTGTATTCAGTTACAGTTACTGTTTCAATGAGTGGTAATTGGATTACAGTTACTTTGTTGAAATAAATGGATTACACGGCGGTATTTTCCTGTTTTCACATTATTAATATTATTATTATTATGTATTTATTTTATTTTTTATTTTTATTTTTTTTTTTTCTGTAATTCCACTCATTGCTGGAAGCTAAACCAGGTCTAAATCAGGACTAAAACCAGGTCTAAACTAGATCTAAACCAGGACTAAACCAGGACTAAAACAGGATTTAACAGGATGTAACAGGATTTAACAGGACTAAACCATGCTGCACAGACGTGTCTCCTCCTCTTCTATCAATAATATTTTTAATACGGTTAAGCATCCTCGTCTTTGCTTCTCTACAGCAAATCAAGTAATCCAAAGTATTCAGATTACATTACTCACTTTAAGTAATTTAATGGATTCCGTTACAAACTACATTTTGGGGTATGTAATCTGTAATATGTAGGGGAATACATTTTAAAAGTAACCTTCCCAACACTGATGGAGAGTGATAAATTTAACGTCATAATTTGGAACACTGAAGGTAAAGCAATAACATCTCCATGGAAACAAGCAAATGGCAGGCCCTCTACCACAAAAGTTACATGGTGCACCTTTAATGAACACCATTGATTACATAGTGGAAAATAACAGACCTTGATATTGAATACCATACCAAGGACAGTATTAGATGTTTTAGGGTTTGGTTTTGTTTGTGTGTGTGTTTGTGTGTAATTAACTGTGTGTGTCTCCCCAGTACAGACATATGGTAACACTTTAGTCTAGGGACCACAAATTAATAGCTAACTAAGGGTGGTAATTGGTATGCTAATTAGCTGTTACTTAGCTATTAGTTGGTATTAATCAAACACTTATTAAAGGTTGTATAGAGGATTTTCCAAGGAACGAGAAATCCAGCGACTGTTTGTCCTTTTTCAAATGTTGCGCATGCGTGAAACCACCCCCCCTCCCCTACAGCTCCCTACGTAGAAACGCCTCCTCCTGCCTCCTCCTTACGCCAGAAACAGGTTTGTTTACAGCCGGTGCG